CAGAAGATGACTGCATTCATTTTATATAGCTATATTCAAACATCTTTTGAGTGTCAGTAACTCTACCAGTTATCTCTATTCCTAGAGAGATGTATTTCTTGCTACACCATCCACAAGCAGATGCCTGACACTTCATTAGGATAGATGAGCATGCAAGTGAGCTTTTAGCTTTGCTTGTATACCCCAAATCCTCCATCAGAAAAAGGTTACTACAGCTGGTGAGCATTTTTGATATTAGAACATAATGGCTTGGAGCTGCCCATCAAAGAGGACATGAATGTCAGAGTGGAAGCTAGGGTCGTTCCTTGGGACTGCTGAGAGGTGTGCAAGTGGCTAAGAGGCCCTCTGGGCCAGAGAAGGCTTCAGCTAGGTACCTTAAGGGGTCCTTCCTTGACATAAGGCAAGTAGTCAAGTCAACAGTCTGATCCAGTGAAGCAGCTCATGAGGAATGGGGTGGGGCCCTTGAATCAAAACAGCGTGTCATTCTGGCAGGTCTGCCTTCTTGCAGCTGGGGTTAGGCTGGAGAATGTGCTGTCACCCTCTGACTTGGGGGTGTTCTGTGCACCACAGCTCAGGAGGGACCTTGCAGAAGACTAGACCAGTTCAGAGCCTCAGTTGTGTTGCTTTGGTGTGGAGGCAGGTAAGGCGATAAACAGGGGAGGGAGTTCAGTGTATGGATTCCACTGCCCTGGTTATACACATGGAGAGCAAGTTGATGTTTTTAAAACTACTGAGGAGAAAGTGTCATTCATGAAATGGCATAGTATGTGTACAGTCAGAAAACTTGCATTCAGAGCCTTGGATAGTCAATATTTAATATCTGATGAAAAACACCATTGAAAAATAATAGCGTTAAAACAGTTAATGCAAATAACTCTGCAAGGGATCTTAAGGCTCCTGCTTCAAGATTTAAGCCAATCTCCAAAAATAAGGCATTAGGAGGAGATCCTTAGGGGAACTGTATGTTCCTCATCTGTTCCTCAGGCACTTCTTAGGGCTTCCTGCAAGCATATAATGGTAGGTGCTGTTGGAGAAATAAAAGGCTGAGAGTGGATTTTGCAGTTGTTGATCGGGTCATGTGGATGAGTTCAAAACTTGACATAGAACAGGTGATCATGCATTCTCCTTGTAGCTGTTAACATTTTTATGCTGATTTGAACATTGGCCTGTGACATAAGCATTGCCAAGGAGAGCAAAGTGCAGAATTGGTGCTAGGCTGGGCCCTGGATGCTCAGGGTTGGTTTTGATGTGTGTGACACCAAGTCACCAAGAATCCCGCTGTGTTCTGTCCTAAGAGCTACCTGGGTTCAGTGCACCTAGGTCAGCCTTTCTTGCAGTCTTGGAGACCTTGTAGCTCTCCTGAGTTGTCACCATAAGCATTTTGGCCTATGGAGTAGTTGCCTGCAGAGCAGAGGTACCTGAAGCCAGTGCAAAAACTTCACCAGCTTTTCTGCTCAGCTTTAGTTTCTGGCCAGAGACCTGCGTTGCCCTGGATGCTTGCTGGTTAATGAACACTTCTCCTGTGCCACCCGTGATGGGACCATGTCTGAAAGCACAATGGGGAAGTCTGTTATCCTACTTCACGTGGCTTTTGTGGTGGAGTAGCTGGTGTGTGGGGAAGGCAGGAGTGGGGAGATGGTGGGGTCCACGCTGCCTGTTCCAGCGCTGTCCTGGCAGGACAGTGTGTCTCCAGCTCCAATCTACTATTTCCCCCACCACCACCACTGTCGTAAGACCAGCAACCATAGGCCTGGCTTTTAATGGGTGGGTTATAGGAGCTGTGTCAGTAACCATTGCTGCAGAGTGGCTTGCTGTTCTTTGCAGGCCAGGACACACTGTTCCTCCCACCACACAACTTGGGGATGGCTGGGCTGTTACAAAAGCAGTCCTGGCTGCGCCTGCCAGCACACCTTTCTGCTACAGGCTGTTGCAAGAAACTCGGTGACTGCTTTGGATGTGTGCCTGCATCCTCCCCTCAGTAGTTCCAGGTAAGGTCACGGTGGCCTAGCTCCCACATGGGTGTGCTGGACGTTCTGGAGGGTTCCTGCAAAGGGGAGGTACCCCGGGCTCTGGCAGTTCTCCTCCTTCCAGCCACAGAGCAATAGAGAGGAATGACCTAGTTTGAGCAGATGAAGGGTGCAGGGGGCACCAGGGCAGGGTCCCAAGTGCTGAAGTTGTCAGACTTGTGGCGTGCCATGTGGCTTAGAGTCATCTGCTTACCTCGAATGGTGTAGTGCCTGCACTGCCCTTCCCAGGAAGCCTCAAAGCCTAGACCTTTGTGAGTACAACAGCTTCACAGCCTGGCTGAGCACAGGAAAGGAGCAGGGAGGGTTGATAGGGTCAAGAACCAGCTCATGAGTTTCCAAAGCTAAGCTGTAGTTATTGGTGTGGGTGTAGAACTGCCCTGAAGTATCTGGTCAACAAGACCCTTACAGGCTTCTCCAGTGATGCAATTCCCCATACTTGAGTTATCTGCTGCAAGATCTACTTGGGACGTGGTAGTAACTCTGCTGCCTCTGCAGGGATGGGAGTAGATGGTTGCTTCATCTCTTGCTTTCTAGCTCTGAGATCATGTGGGGATGTTTTGTTCTTGTTAGGGAACTGAGACTGACAGTCTCCCCTGGCCTTGCCAGCAGCTGTGCTCGTTTCTGGGCAGGACTGACAGTCCATAGAGCCCTTCATCTTGCTGCCATGACCGGTGCTTGTTCTGCGAGCTGGAGCAAGTGGCAGCTGCCCCGGCTCCTGCAAGGCCAGCTCTTTGTGCATAAACAGGGCGGGGGGGGCCAAAAAGGAACCTGCTTCGTGTCTCCTGGGGACAGGCAGCCCTTTGCCCCCAGCCAGCACTGTGCTGTTACTGCCTTCTCCCTTCTCTCTCCTCAGCAGCGTGGGGTGATGGCGGGTGGTGAGGATGCTGCTGCTGGCAGCCAGCCTTTGGGTTGCGTGGAGCTGCAGATGCGCTGCTTGCTTTGGGAGCAGCGAGCCCTGTTGAGAACTGCCTGCTGTGGCTCGTTCCAGCCCTGCAGGGGACAGAGCCGTTTTCACAGGGGCAAGGGAAAGGCTGGCAAAATGGCTGGCAGACAGCCTGGCTGCCACGGTTAATCAGAGCACTGCAGCCGATGGTGAGGAGGACACCCAGCTGCCCCTATCTGTGCCCAGCCCTCACTTGGGGCTAAATGATGGTACAGCAGCGCCTGTCCCAGTACTGTTGAGCCAAGTCTGGTCGTAGCTGTCCCAGTACCAGTCATCCTGGTACTGGTGCCACTGTCCTGGCACCAGTACTGCCCACCATCATTTTACTGCCTGGGCACCAGCTTGGCCCAGTACATGCTAGCCCAGCCTCAGCACAGGTTCCTCCAGGCCATGCTGCAGGGAGGGCACCTGCAGTGTGGCTGGGGAAGGAGTTGGCCCTGGTTTCTGGCCTTGCTCACTGCGCACCTGCTGTGAGCATGAGCAAAATGCTTCTTCCTCAGCTGCAGAAGCAGCACCCACACTTCGCCCACCCATGGCCAGGTATGAGCCAGCTCCTTCCTTCAGCACCCTTCTCCTTGCCAGAGCACAACAGCCCCCTGAAAACCTTCTCTCTTTTCCTATTGAATGTGCAACGCTGTGGAAGTCATTCATCTGAGCATGGAAGGAGGACATGGCTGAGCTGAACAGGATGGGTCCAGCCTCAGTGACCAGAACTGTCGACACAGGACCCCACTGCAGGTGGGAACATTGGGTTTCCTGGAGCTGGAGCCATTTTGGGGCTGCAGTCAGCCAGGTACTGCTGTCCTGCCCTCAGAGCAGCCATGTAAGTTTGGATCCCCTTCCCAACATCTGGCAGAAATAAAGCACACATCCATGTCAAACATAATATATTTATAGCAAAAATAGGCTTTTTCTGTAGCTTCCATACACAAGGTTTTCTCCCCGTACATTTATGCAGTAAACAGGTCGACTGAAGCAGCATGTGCTGGGCTGACTCGACAGCTGCCCTTGCTTCAGGCTCCCACTTATTGCGGGTGGCCTCATTCCCCTTTTGTGGCTGCTCCCCGGAGCCTGCACTTGATCCCTCGTACCTCCCCAGCCAGGGCCTGCAGCACACACAGGGAGCAGCCCTAAGCCGGGGGGAACGGTGGTGCATGCTCCTGCCCACCAGGCAGAGGGCAAGGCTAGTGCACTAGTGCACGAGCTGTTCAAATGGGGACAGGTTTCAAGGAGAAGCTTCCCATAGCTCACCTGTGCTGATCACTGGCTCTTCCACCATGCTGTTAAGCAGCAAGTGACTGGGCACAGGACCTCAGCGTTCTCATGGTGGTAAGATACAAGCCACATTAACCCAGGAAGCCTCTCTTGTTCCCCTGACCCTCCACTGATGGGAGGCAGAGGAGAGGCTTTGGGGCAAGCTTCCTGAGGACTGCCCAAAGTCCACTGCAGAAACCTCCAGAGCTTGAACGCTGTCAGAGACCTCACCCTGCTCTCAGAGAAGGCAGAGCACTAGGGCACCCTGCTAGTAAGAGCTTCACAGTTTGGAGTTCACGGTCATTTGAGTTTCGGGGTCATTGCTTGTCTATCCCAGAGGGGTTTGGCACACAGACCTAAGGGGCAGGACATGTAGGCAGCAAGGACATCCCCTTCCCATCCCAGGCTGGGGAAGGGCCCTCGCTCAGAGCCAGCACTCCTCCCTGGCTGACCACACAACCTGGGACATTGCAGCACACCTGCGAGCTGCCCATGCTGTTGTCAAGTGAGATGCATCACCCCAATGAGGCCAGGTACCAAAGGGTGGCTTGCGGCCCAGCCACTGCAGCACAGGGAAGGAAGCCTGCTCTCCCCTCTGCCCTTCCCGTGGTGGCTGGGGCTCTCGCAGCACCTGGGTGAGGAGCTTCTGCTCACGGGGGAGCATCCCTCTAAACTGGCCCCAGCCCCCTCCCGCCTCCCTCTCCCCGTGTCTTTAGCAGTCCTCCTTGTACATCTTCAGTCTTCCAGCATCACACCGACATCTCAGCAGCACGGACTTGCCTCACAGTTTGGTAATTGCACGTAATGGGGCCACTCAGCAAGCCCCACATCGGGGCGGGGGGGGGAGGGGGGGAAGGAACAAGACAGTCAAGTAAACTAAATTGAGTAATCCCTTGCTGTCCGTCCCAGCATGATGGGTCACGCACAAGTCCAGGGATAAGAGGGTGCTGCCCGGCCCTGCCGCAGCACAGCTCCCCACCATCTAGGAGATCATGTATTGGGTGATGGCCTGCAACGCGTACAGCAGCTCTGCCTGCATTCGGGCTTCCAGGATGAGCAGATTCACGTGGACCTAAGGGAGAAGCAAGAGAGGTTCAGGCAGCCGCACTGTGCTGTGGGCAACAGTGCAAGCAAGCACCCACCCAAGCTAGTGAGTCTTGGCATGGGATAAAATGCCACCAATTTTTCCAGTATCAGCAGCTGCCTTTTCCCCCTCCTCCCAGTCCTGCAGACTGTGGGTGCCTCCCAGAGCCACATGGTGGGGAGTGCTCAGCACACTTGTCACCAGCATGCCAGGCTGGCACCAGCATGGTCCCCGGCGCCCCACAGCAGCCGCTCCTGCAAGTTACAGCTGGACCAAGGACTTGCCTGGAGGCACTCACCAATGGCGTCATGGCCTTGGAGATCCCCACGCACTGCCAGTGGCCCCTGTGCTCATCACACTGTGGGCATCCCCACACCATGCTAAGCCCAGCTCCTTGCCAGATTCCATTTCCCCCCACACCTGCCTCAGACTAGTTTGGTGGCTCAAAGGTTTCCTGTACATCCCCCGAAGCACCCCAGCCTGCAGCCCCTGCCTGCTCCAGCCCCACCACAGCTGGTGAGAGCCAGGGGCCGGCTGTCCCACCTTTTCACTGTGCTTGAACTGCTTCCAGAACCTGTCAAACATTTCTGAGTTTGTTTTCTCTGGGTAGCAGGTTACAGTTTTAATGTAAACTTTGAGCATTCGCTCCAGGAGCTGATTCACTTCTGCGTAGTCGTAGTCATCGTACCTGTGGGGAGCACAGGGGCAAGTCACAGCCAGCACTGTCCCCCTACAATGCACCTCGCCCGTGGTCTGCCCGGGGCATGGCACAGCTGTGGGGCAGGGGCACACACGGCAGCGGCCACCAGGCACTGAAGCCCTGTCCCTGAAGGGCCCTGGCCGGGCTAGCGAAGCTGAGAATCTCTTCCCTGCCTGGCCCAGCATCCAGGCAGGTGATTCACCTCCATCTCTTTTCCAAGCCCATCTGCAGGACAGCTCAAGTGCCCTACCCTCCTCCCACCTGGGTCAGCTCAGTTTTCTCCCCTGGACTGTGAGGCTGGTTTCCCTACCTAATGCCAAACATGCAGTGGATGTAGTTCCAGATGCCCCGCTTGAAGACGGAGGGTTCACAGCCCTGCCGCTTGGCCATGGCACTGCTTTGCAGACCATCCACCATCCGAAACTTCTCATCCAGGAGATGCCCGATGTCGGAGTAGAGACGGTTAACCAGTGAGAAGCCATGGTCTTCCCAGGAGTAATCCTGTTGAGCACAGCAAGAGGCTTTCGCAACTGCAAAAAGGAGCCTGGGGCATGTTCCCAGGAAGGAGGGCTGGAGTTCTCGGGACGCAACAGAATTCAATAGGTTTGCTCTGGGGGCGGCTCTGCCACAAACCACAACATCCCTCATCAGGCAGCTTTGGAATGATTTTGACCCTTGCCTCTGTGAGGGCAACGTGAAGAAATCGGCAGCCCTTGGGACTGATGTCACTGGTCACTTCCCTCTCCCCAACCCTAGTGGGGCAGGTCCCCTCTCAGACCTGAGCTTCCCTGCTTGGGCATTTTGCAAAAGTAGCTGTGCCAGATCCAGGCTGGACAGGTGGGCACCCCTGTGACAGTCTGCTCCCCACCAGGAGCCGAGAGGAGAGGTGGCAGCCTGGGCTATTACCCTCTGGGAGAGCAGGAACCTCACCTGGACTCTGAATACCTGCGTCTGATCCTCGTCGCGCCGGGCAAAGTCCTGGTATCCAAAGTCAGGGTCCTGCATGTAGCATGCAAGGTTGGTGGCACTGGTGACTTCCCCGTCAGTATCTGCAAGAGGGGAGAGCCCCACAGATGGGTCAGAGCAATGCTCAGCTGCCCTGTTCCTAGCCACAGCAGGTGTCAAAAGCCAGGCCTTGCTGCGCCTCTTTGGGAAGCACTCCTGCCTTCCTCCCTCCCGCCAGCATCCCAGGAGCCCTCTCCAAACTGTACATCATGGAAAATGTAACTACAGACATGGGGGTCCAACACCCAGGTATGCCATACAAACTCCAATCCTGCACACCCACCTCTGCTCTCTGCCACTCACCTTCCTCTCGGTCCTGCTGCAGCAGCCTTGTCTCCTCCCTGTCCTCAGTCTCCACGTGGATCCGCTGCATGCGTTCCCGGAGGGAATCCAGCTCCATGCAGGAGTCCAAGGACTGCACAGACACAATCTCAGGGGTGAAGGCAGCAGTCCCAGCCGCGCTCCCATCCCCCCTTGGACCCACCCTCAGGGACTCACCCGCTTGCGGTTGATGCGCAGCAGCTCCTGGCTGCAACCATTGCTGGCGGTGGCTTCACAGAAGCACTGGTTCCCGGGCGACAAGGGCTTCAGCAAGCCTCGGCCCCCCGGCCCATCGTCCTGCTCGCAGCCACAGCCGAAGACAAAGCTGGCGAGCGCATGGCAGTGCGCCAGGACAACAACAGCATGCACCAGCTCCGCCAGTGACCAGCTCCACTCACTGATTTTTAGCAGCTTCTGCAGGACACAGACAGACCAGCGATGCAATGCGGGCAGGGTGCTGGCACCCCCTGGGGATGCTGCTGTCCCCGCCGCCAACCTGGTCCCCGGCTGATAGCCCCCCTTGCAATACCTCAATGTGCTCCTTGGTGATCAACCATGGCCGGTGTGCCAGGATCTTGTTGATCTCATTGAGGTTGCGGAGTTTGGGGGGGATGAAGTCGAGGCCACGCAGCCACTGGGGATCACCCCCTGCCCGCAAGAACTGCAGCACGTGCAGGTTCACCAGGTACCGGCACTGGTGCCGGGCAGCTGCCTGCAAGAGCAGCATATCAGCATCCCCGCACCGCGCCAATGGAACAGGCATCCTGGGACCCTGCGCCCACCTCTCGTCCAACCTCCAGGACATCATGATTTTGGCCGCTGCAGAGAAGCCTGCTGCACAGGCTGTCTGGTGGAGGGAGAGCAGCGAGCCTCGCAGGGCTGAGCAGAGCCCCCCATCCCCTCCGGCAGCTCCCAGCGGGGCTCACCATGATGGCAATGTAGTGCCGGCAGTCGAAGGGCAGTGGGCCGTCCATGTGCATCAGATAGTGCTGCGTCTTGAGGAAACTGTCGAGGTACTGTGGGTGGTAGCCCATCTGCTGGGTCACCGCCTCCAGCCGCCCCCGGCTTGCCAGCACCTTCACAAAGAGGAACTGAGGGCGCTCGGGGTCACTGCTGGACATCTTCACTACCTGCAGGGAACATGCTCTGCTTAGCTCTCCTCAGAGCAGCCCCTGCTGCAGCAGCCCACCCCAGCCAAGCCTGGGCTCTGCAAGGGGCTGGGCTGCCCTCTCCTGGCTTGGTGCCCCCAGAGGGAGACCATCAGGTCAGAAGCCTCTGCAGAGGGCTCAGGTTGGGGAGCTGGGCAGAGCACTGGTTAGCAGGGTCATACTAGCAGGACAGGCTGCAAGAAACACAGGTTGGTCTCTGCCTGGGAGAGGGCATTGTCTGCTGAGCAGAGGCAAAGGACAAACTAAGTAGTGATGTTTCCTTGCAGTCTTAGAGGCAAATACAAGGCCAGAGCAGGAGAAACATGACAGATGAAAGACCTCCCAGAGTGGAACAGCACATTAGTGTTACTGCCAGGCCCCTGCACAGCCAGCACCAAGCCCTCCCGCCCAGCACTGGGACAGAGGGAGAGCTATGCAGCCAGCTGAGCGGCTTCTGCTCTCCTGCTCTGACAAGCCAAGGGGCAAGCGATGCCCTGGCCCCCACCACATGGTTGGGAGCACACAGAGGGGCTCAGAGGTCTCCCCGGGCACTACCCAAGGAGACAGCATGGGAACATGTCCCCAGCACACGGGTGCATGGCACAGCTGGCACCAGGTGCTCCCACTGGTGAAAACACAGATGGGCAACTCAGCGAGGGGTCCATACACCCCCAGCAGCACCTGCCCCAATGCTGCACCAGTGCCCCAGCTGAGCACAGCCACAAGCCACGCTGCCCTAGTCCTCCCTGAGAGGGTGGTGGGAGCAGAGGGCAGGGATCTACAAAAAGGCTCTTGGCAACTGCTGTGCCCTAATGGTCCCACTGCCACACCTCCCACCCGACAGTGGGGTCTGCACCTGCAGCCCACCTGTGCCAAGGCACAGGCACAGCAGGTGCTAACCCTTGTCACACAGAAAGTCACGGCTCCCGCTTGCACACAGGACCCCAGGCAGCACCCTCAGACGCAGAGAGTGCACCTCCCATTCTGGGCTCGAACCGAAATCTCTCCTGGGAGCAATTGGCCCTGCTGGCACCGCTGTCATCTTCCTCCCATCTGTCTCTCCGGTGCAGTCACCTGAAGGCTGGTAACCCAGGCACAGCCAACAGCAGTGGCATGGTAGCAAACCAGGAGCACATCTGCAAAGCAGCCACTGTTCCACCATGACCCCGAGTTGTCACTGCTGGCCAGGTGAGCAGAATAGCCCTCAGAGTGCCAACCAGGAACCCCAGTACCCCATGCACGTCACCTTGCCAGCACCTATCGTGCCAGTCAGAGAGCTACAACCAGGCCTTAATTTCTGCAGCGGCTCAGCGTGCCACCACGAGGCAACCCAGAGGGTCGGAGCAGCACTGGCAGGGACAGCAAAGCCACGGAGTGCGGAGCAGAGCACCCCAGGGTGAGAGGGAGGCAGAGGGGCTGAGCCACGAAGCAACACCAAGCAGTCGTACCTGCACAGGCAGCACAGGAAGTGGCTATTTTTCACCATCCTGCGCTGCTGACAAACACACCATCACTCAGGTGTGAAGAGATTTACTTGATGCCATTTGGAGCTTTGCTTTTGGCCAAAGGGGTCCAAAAAAACCCCAACCCAAAGCCAAATTAAAATGAGGAGGGTCCCACAGGAGAATGTGCGAACCAGAAGGAACTGCACTGCAAAGTCCCTCTCCTCGGGAAAATGAGATGCCCTGAGGACACCCATGGGGCTACAGCCACTGGTCTCCTAGTGGGCAGGGGTGGAGGAGCTGGGGGCCCTTCCACTCCCCCCGGGGGAAGGTGGTTCCCAGCAAGGAGCCATGTGACCAGCCCATGACTTAGCCTCCAGGGCCACCAGGTCTCCTTGCTTTGCTTGTCCAGGTGATGATGGAGCAAGCCACCAGGCAGTCATGGGTTGGAAGGGGAGGATGAAGGGCAGGATGAAATAAAGTGCAGGCCAGCCACCCACCTCAGTCCTTGTCCCCCGGCTGGGCTCTCCTGCCTGCTCCCCACGACAGCTGCTCAGCCAGGGTCCCCCAGCCACGTCCCCCTGGCCTTGCCTCCCCAGCCTCTCGCATCGCCCCGGTGCCACCTTCCTCGCCCTCCCTGGCCATAACCCTCCTCCTTCCCTGTGCCCACTCGCATCCCTGGGCAGTGGGAGCATCGCCTCCCTACCCCAGGGGCTTTTGTGTGTCCGAACCCCCCGAACCGCAAGTAGGCACCCCGACGCCATATCC